CGAGTAGGGTGCCCTTTGGCCTCCTCTGCCTGCCAGGTTATTGCAGCTCCTTTTCTTTCCTGGGCAGTTCCCCTGAGAACTTTACGAACGGCCATAAAGCAGAATTGCCTGCCCTAAAGGCCCCCCCTCCCCCGAAGCTTCTGGCCTTCCCACAACCTGGCATCTCAGTGGGCATTTGTGCGACCTTGGGTGGCTGGTGGGGGTGGGGGGTCCACCCCATACCCTTCACCCGGGATCTGGGGGTGTTCCTGGGGTTGGACTGAGGGGCCCAGAAGAGAGCGCCCGGTTGTGCTGCCTGCGGCACACAGAAAGGGGCAAGATCCGGCGTGCCCCTGCCAGCAGGCGTTGTCCCCAGATGGCGGCTTGACTCCGGCAGGCGGAAGACACCCCTCGGCTCTGGCAGGCTCCACATCTGGGGCTGAGTTCCGAAGCAGACAGCCATTGCACAGNCATGAAGTGAAGGCACACCTCCCAGTTCCAGCCTGAGACACAAGAGTTTCTCTGGAGCCGGTCTCTGTGTTTCGGAGGCTCCCAGCGCCTTGGGATGGCACTCTCCTCTGGGCCTGGGGCCGAGGGCTCGGGTGCCCTCGCTTCCCTCATTTCTGCCTTGAGAAGGATGGCTTCGGCCTCTCCAAGGAGCACACGCAGCTCCTGGGCTGAAGGCACACCTCCCAGTTCCAGCCTGAGACACAAGAGTTTCTCTGGAGCCGGTCTCTGTGTTTCGGAGGCTCCCAGCGCCTTGGGATGGCACTCTCCTCTGGGCCTGGGGCCGAGGGCTCGGGTGCCCTCGCTTCCCTCATTTCTGCCTTGAGAAGGATGGCTTCGGCCTCTCCAAGGAGCACACGCAGCTCCTGGGCTGCCTCAGACGGACCAGCGGGGGCCTTCCTCTGCGTCCCCACCATTCCAGCCACTCCTGGACACACGGGTGTGCCGTTTTCCTCAAGGGTCAGAAGCACCCTTCCCTTTGGCTGGCAGATCCCTTCAACCCGCTGCTGCCACGTTGAAAGGCAAACCGGCTTTTTGACGCTCGGTGTTTTGGTCTGTCCGACTGTTCCGGCCCCAAACGGTGCCGCTGCGGTGCCTCTGGCTGCAAACGCAAGGCGTGCTTTCGGCGCCTCTTCGGGCTGGCCTTCTTTGGCAGGAAGGGGCTCAAAGGGGCCCGGGAGACGCACGTGTCCCCTCCAGGTGCTGACGTTTCCAGTTCGGAGAGTGGGCGCAAGGGAAGACAATTCCGCCTGTGTCAGAGGGTGTCCCTCCTGCCCCAATGGGCTGGGGGAACGGAGGGAGGGAGGGAGGGAGGGAAGGAGGTGTGACAAACCCAGACCTACTGGGATCTGCCACACAGTTACACTAAGCTGCCACCAACCATTCCCTGTAAGAAGTCACACAGACCAGGGATGGATTTTCAAACAATAAAAAGAATAAGGTTTATTTTAAATACACACAGGGAAAAATAAACAATCAGGTGAATAGGATAAAGTAACGTGGCTTATTCTCACTCATACATACACACAGTTTGGTTCACCCAGAACCCTTAACTTGAAGCACAGACCCTGAACCTATCAGTTCTGGCTAACCAACAGACACCTGAACCTATCAGGTTGGTACTCTGACACACAGAAGTACCCTGTCTGACACACAGACTCCCACAACAGCTCCTTCTTCCCAGCTGCTGCTTCGTCACAACCCAGAGTCTGCTAGCATCTTCTCTTCACCACACAGGCATCACATATTTATACAGTACAGCCCCTCCTCCTGATGTCCCGCCTTCCACTCCCCATAGGATGGAACTTTCCCTCCAAACCCATGACAGACAGGTAACATCAGTGCTGTATGTAACACCTCCCCTCTTTATAAGTTGTTTTGTAGGGGGAAAGCTAACGTGCTTTTCACCAAAAAACAAACCTGAATAAAATACACAACAACAGTTATACATACCATATCATACTTACTTATACTTACATTCTAAGTTAAACCATAGCAAATAGGCATTTAAACATTTACCATATACATTACATCAATTTACCTTTATTCATACAAACCAATTCAAAAACAGGTACATTTTACTTTTTGTCATCACTATATACACATAGTCCATGTTTCTTTCGCCGTCTTCATTCTTCAGGTCTTCTTGACAAGGCGTCAGCAACACAGTTCACTGACCCTCTGACCACCTTCACTTCAAAGTCATAGTCCTGCAG